AGACTTCTCCAGTTCCTTTCATGAGGCAGATCATGTGCAGCTCCAGGACCTTGTCACCTGATCTCCATTCTCTGCTCCATGACCTCCTCACCCCTCCTCACCCCTCATCACCCCCCTCACCCCTCCTCACCCCTCCTCACCCCCCTCACACCTTCGACATGACCCCAAACCCCCGCTTTGCCATCCTGGGCTCGACAGGGAGAGTCTGTATCACTATAGAACGTTCGCTAAGTGCAGTTTAATAAATTAGCGTTGATTTGGCTTTGCAGCCGGTAGTTTTCAAAATGGGGAAAAAACAAAACAAATTCTACTTGGGGTTTTTTAAAGCTAATGTTAGCGAATATATACTTGCTTCTTTATTTTGCTACAGTTAGAGATGTTATACTTGTTTATTTATGATGCTAAACTTGCTTCTTTGTTATGCTTGTTATGTATTCTGTGCTCCTCCCTCTGGTGGTAGCCTAGAGAGTTACAGGCAGAAAGCATTTTTAACCCTTTCTACTTTTCTTCTACTTTTCAGAATTTTTCACATTCTAAAACACAGCCTGACAAAGTAAACAGTCTCATATCATTTTCTTTGGCCAATAATAACGCATGATAGTTCTTCTTTAAGTTATAACATTTCTAGGACAAGTGTCTCAAATGCAGTTTTTTTGTTCCGTTTTTATTTCTTTCTTGTTTACAGCTTTGTGAGAATTCTGTGGTCTTGAGTTCACGTCCCGCGGGTCCAGACAGCTGCCTCGTCCGTCTCTTCCAGACCGGATTACTGTTTTCTGGACACAGCCAAGGAGCCCTGGCATTTCCCACAATCCTCTGCTCCACCCTCTCTCTTCTTCTCCTTTTGCCTCGGTCCAATTCTTTTGCTAAATCCAACGCCTCAGTCTTTGCTAACTGGGAAACCAAACCCAGTGTAACTCAAAGGGACAGGTTTGGACAGGTGTGACCGAAGCAAAGAACAAAACACCCACTGTCGCTTTGAATCGGTGTAAAGCGTTTGGACCGGTGTATGCTATTGCTAATGCTAATGCAGGTCCAAAACTGAGGCTGCTTTCACACTTGCACCTTCAAATCAGGACTAAACTAGCGCTGAACTTCACATAACATAGGGACAAAGCCGGACCAGACACTGTCAAAGCAGTTCTTAAAGGGCCGGCTGCGGGTTTTCATTCCAAACTAAGCAGGAGCACGTCAGACTCTGAGTCCAGTCTGAACCTGAAGACGTGAGGAAATGGATGGAGTTCAAAACAGGACTAAAAACGTTCATTATGGATTTTAATTATTAGATTTATTTTCTTCTTCCCCTCTTTTTTAATTAAATGTGTTATTTTCTCTCTTCTCGTTTTTTTAGGCAAGACACTTCCCCCACATTAGAATGAGTCTGGTGTGTGTGTGAATGGTTGGTGGTGGGAGGGGCTTCTGTCAGTGTGCCCCAGGGCAGCTGTGGCTACAGTAGTTTATCACCACCGTGTTTAGAGAGAAAGAATAGTAGTAAGTAGTAGTAGTAATCTTTATTTATATACCGCCTTTTCACTGCAGATCTGAGTCTCAAAGCGGTTTACAAATAATGTGAAGAGACTTTGAGAGTCCGAAAAAGCGCTGTATCAAACCAATGCATTATTATTATCATCAATAAATAAAGTTTGGAAGAATACAAAAAGTGTCATTATGGCTGCACCACTCCCAACCAGTGTTACACATGTTTTTAAGTCACTGAACCTGCTGCTGTTATCTGGTCTTATCTCTCTTCTGCTTCTATTCTGATCTATCTATCTATCTATATATCTCTCTATCTATCTATGTATCTATCTCTCTCTCTATCTCTCTATCTGGTATAAATCCTGACACTTCTCCTTCTGCTCCGTGTGAGTTTTCCCCTAAAACAGTTGTATATTTCTGAATTTCTGCAGGAGGTTTTCTGTGAACATTATTTTGACAGAGCCACAGTTTGAGAAACGTCTGCGGAGATTTGAACAGCTGTGGAAACTCACATTCTTTCACATGTTTGTAATGAAAACGGAGGGAGGAGGGGAGAGGAGGGGGGAGAGGGGAGAGGGGAGGACTTTCCAGACTCTTCGATTATGTGTACGTTTTAACATTCTTAATAAAGCAGGGAGCATTTGCACTTCAAGGCTGAACAATGCTTTCTGCCTGTAACTCCCTGCACCGCCACCAGAGGGAGCAGTTGGATATGAGCTTGTTTAATTTCCAACATTGAGAATTCACGGCTGCTCACAGAGTCGAGAAAGAGCAAAGAATGAATTTGTGCCACATCCAATGCCTCCCTCCACCGCAGATCAAGTTAGCAATCAGTGGGATTTTTTAGCTTCAGGTAAAAAGTCAGTCTACTCCAAAAACTCCAATGCACTCCAACGGTTAAAGTTAAAAAGCCACTTGCGAATTTTATTCTCACTCCCATCAGGACAAAGATCCAAACTCTGAGGACCGAGTCTGAACCCCCGAGGACCGGGTCTGAACCCTGAGGACCGGGTCTGAACCCCCGAGGACCGGGTCTGAACCCTGAGGACCGGGTCTGAACCCAGAGGACCGAGTCTGAACCCCGAGGACCGAGTCTGAACCCTGAGGACCGGGTCTGAACCATGAGGACCGGGTCTGAACCATGAGGACCGGGTCTGAACCCCGAGGACCGAGTCTGAACCCTGAGGACCGAGTCTGAACCCTGAGGACCGGGTCTGAACCATGAGGACCGGGTCTGAACCCTGAGGACTGAGACTGAACCATTAGGATCGGGTCTGAACCCTGAGGACCGAGTCTGAACCCCGAGGACCGAGTCTGAACCCTGAGGACCGACACTGAACCCTGAGGACTGGGTCTGAACCCTGAGGCCTGAGTCTGAACCCTGTGGACTGGGTCTGAACCCTGAGGACTGGGTCTGAACCCTGAGGACCGAGTCTGAACCCTGAGGACCGGGTCTGAACCCTGAGGACCAAGTCTGAACCCTGAGGACCGAGTCTGAACCCCGAGGACTGAGAACTCTCCAGAACTCAGTCCCACAAACCAGACTCATAACTCGGACTCACATCCAAACTTCAAATCCCGGCTCAAAACCCACTTTTTAACCAATTCCTTTGAAAATCATCTCTGACTGGTCCAAAAATCACTCTCTCCTGTAAGAACTCTCCACGTTTTGGTTTTAACACAAACACTGCACCAGTTGAACCCTCCTCCAGTCCTCCCCGAGTCTAAGTCCGAGTCCGAGTCCGAGTCCGAGTCCAAGTCCGAGTCTGAGTCTGAGTCTGAGTCTGAGTTTTCCCCTTTGTCGATGTGGCACAAAGCTCCTAAACCACTGCCTCCACCTGATCTGCTCAGTAATGACAGAGAGAGACACACACACACACACACACACATACACACACACACTCACACACACACACATACACGCACACACACACACACACACACACACACACACACACACACACACACACACACACACCATTGGAACCAGATGTCTAGAGAGAGAGCACCTCACAGACATAATGGAAACACACACATGGTGCATGGATAATGGAGATGGAAGATTGTTTTTTAGAATCAAACAAGTTGGACTAATTCACATCCAGACCATTGTCTCTCTATTTTCCACATGGTCCAAAGTCTGTGTTCTAAAAAAAAAAGTAAAAAGTGGGAGATACAGGGAAAAGTATTTGGGAAAACCTTTGCAAACCTGTAAACTTCAGAAAGTACAAAGACTGGATGAATAGGTTTAGATACAGACTCTCTCTGGTCTCTCTCTGGTCTCTCTCTGGTCTCTCTCTCTGGTCTCTCTCTGGTCTCTCTCTGGTCTCTCTCTGGTCTCTCTCTCTGGTCTCTCTCTGGTCTCTCTCTGGTCTCTCTCTGGTCTCTCTCTGGTCTCTCTCTCTGGTCTCTCTCTGGTCTCTCTCTCTGGTCTCTCTCTGGTCTCTCTCTGGTCTCTCTCTCTGGTCTCTCTCTGGTCTCTCTCTCTGGTCTCTCTCTGGCCTTTCTCTCTGGTCTCTCTCCTTCTCTCTCTGGTCTCTCTCTCTGGTCTCTCTCTGGTCTCTCTCTCTGGTCTCTCTCCTTCTCTCTCTGCTCTCTCTCTGGCCTTTCTCTCTGGTCTCTCTCCTTCTCTCTCTGGTCTCTCTCTGGTCTCTCTCTGGTCTCTCTCTGGTCTCTCTCTCTGGTCGTTCTCTGGTCTCTCTCTGGTCTCTCTCTGGTCTCTCTCTCTGGTCTCTCTCTGGTCTCTCTCTGGTCTCTCTCTGGTCTCTCTCTGGTCTCTCTCTCTGGTCTCTCTCTGGTCTCTCTCTGGTCTCTCTCTCTGGTCTCTCTCTGGTCTCTCTCTGGTCTCTCTCTCTGGCCTCTCTCTGGTCTCTCTCTCTGGTCTCTCTCTGGCCTCTCTCTCTGGTCTCTCTCCTTCTCTCTCTGCTCTCTCCGTCTCTAAATCTATTACAGTGTTATTAGCGTAGATTCATCTTTGCGGCACTTTGAGCACTGCACATATTTGATGAGGCCTTGAACCCATGACAACATGAAACAGACTCAGCGCTGCTTATTAAACGGTTTCTGGATTACTCTAAAACATTTCAAAGTTCTGCACAGTACGTTCTTTGTCGCCCAAACAATCCGTGGCTTTGTTCACCTCGAGACTGAAAAATGGGTTTTGTTTAATCCGTGACTTGTAAATATCTGAAGGAACACGATCAGATCCTTTTGCAGAAATTTAAGAAAGAATGTGCTTGTTTTTAAAAAAAATTTAAACTTGCCTCAAATGGTTTTATAGTGATTTTTAAACAGAACCAACTTTTGCAGTGTGTTGTGGTCAGACAAAAATGCAAGTTACTGTCACTGAAGCTTAGTTTAGATCCACCTCAAATCTGTTACCGCCTTTATCGTCTTGTTTGACCCAGACTTAGTCCTAAAATCCACTGATCTCGGTCCTGGTTTGGTCCTGGTTTGGTCCTGGTTCAGCTTCAGTCCAGACAGAACATCACATAACAGTTTAAAAACATGTAAATGCTTCTTACCTGTAGTAGTCAGAGCAGAGGACTGAGCTGGTCTAAGGTCTGGGCGGTCTGGGCTCGGTCTGGGCTCGGTCTGGACTCGGTCTGGACTCGCCTCCTCAGCTCCAGCCTCAGCAAATCCACCGAGGGACGTCCCAGACTGGAACCCGACCCCACCTCCTCCTCCTCCTCAGGACCCGGAGCCTCCCTCTGTGGGCGGCTGCAGGAACACACACAGAACACACACTTAGACATTTATACAGACAATTTAACTCTGAATAATAATAATAACACAGAGTTAAAGGTGATTAGGAGGATTTTCTACTTCCTGGTGGATCATCAAAACGATTGGTCCTCTTATCTGTCAATCATTCTGGTGATACGTCCTCATCCAAAAAGACCAGAGAGTTTTCAAAAAGTGGTTCTTTGCTAAAATTTGCGAGAAGCTACTGTTAGTATTAGATAGCAATATGGCCTACGTGCAGGACTGTACAAGGACTCTACAAGGACTCCATGTTATGACTATGATGTGACTGTCTCTTTGTGACACGTATGTCTTTCGATGTGTGACGTGACAATGACTATATAAACTGTGTACTGCCTTTATTCTGTCTGAGAGAAAGAAACAGAGTAAACCAGTGGAACTTGAGAGAAACGTAAATAAACTTCCAGAGTTTGGCACACCACGATCCGTCTCTGTCTGCTAAATCCTAACAGATTTGGTGGAGAATGCGCGGCTCGGTTTGTGCCATTCTCTGGATTGTTTTGAGGGAATTTCCTGTTTCTTTTTTTCGGCGTGTGGGAGCAACAGCACGTTATCTGGAAGGGGAGAAATCCCAGCGGACGCTGAAAGGGCTCGCTTTTGGATGGGCTTGCTCTTGCTCCCTCACTTTCTCTGTTTTGTGTTTAAATGGAATTTTTCGACGCGGAAAAGATGTTGGTCGACCTCTCGAACAGTCCGGACAAAGAATTAAGGTAAGCAGACACCTTTTTTAATATGTAAAGTCTGCATAATTGGATACTAGCTAAATTTTGAGCTGTCCCGGAGGTCTGTCCAAATCTCTCTAAATCAAATTTTCTTTGTTATGTCTTTGTCACGTCTTTGTCATGTCTTATGTTGTAGAAAACAGGTTAACTGTGTGGGTAACCAGTCCCTATAGGAAAAAGGAACCCCTGACGTATCGGGGTCCCTGTCCTTTGAAGTAGTCAGGACAGAGAGAAAGGAACCCCTGACGTATCGGGGTCCCTGTCCTTTGAAGTAGTCAGGACAGAGAGAAAGGAACCCCTGACGTATCGGGGTCCCTGTCCTTTGAAGTAGCCGGGGCAGAGAATAGAGAATAGAAAATAGTTAGTGAAACCATGGTGTAATAATAAAAGCAATAAAAAGGGAAATGTGTTAAGGAGGCCTTTGTTACAAAAGCTTTGAAATTGACGAATTTCAGGCTGATAAATGACAAAAGTAAAGAAGCAACAATATTTCAGTGATCACGGTTTAAATTACATACAGAAAAAGGGAGTTTTTTTGTTTTTTAGTTTGTTTTTGGCGTGAACAGAGTTCACCGGAGAATGCAGAGTTTTATCTAAAGTTGAGCTATGAGAGCTTTCGTGAGTTATTTACATTTTTTGCCGAGTTTTATCTACAGTTGAGCTATGAGAGGGCTGTATCCAACAGTTGTTTTTGTTTTTTAGAAAGAGATTTTGAGTTTAAATTAGCTACCTCGATAAAATAGAAGCGTAAACGTTAAAGACAAGAGTGCCTTTTGTTACTAGTGTGGAAAGTGGCCATTTCTAGACTTGGATGACAAAAGTATAAAGAACAACATCAGTTATATTCGCTTTAAAAAGTAATCTTGAAAGTTATTCTTCTGTATCTTTCTGCCTGTGTGCGCACATCTCTATCTGCTGCCGTTGTCAGGGAAACGGCCCCCTCCTTCGCTGCTCTGGCTGTGAATCTGAAGCAAAGCTACTGCTTTAGGAATTTGGCTTTTCATAGTAGTTATTCCGTTAAATTTGCTAAATTTGCCATTTGAACATTGTGTTAGACACAGTTAAACGTTTTTAAACACCATTAGGGAATAGAAGTTTTGAATTAGTATGTTTTTGAAACCCAAAGATTAGTACAAAAAGCTTTGCTTTTCTTTTTAAATCTGCTGCTTATTTTGTGAGTCCATTATTGTATCTCTGATATATTTCATAGCTGTTTGTGAGAATTTTTTCATGTATTTTTTATTTTAGTTACAAAAGCCGTTTTTCAAACATTTAAATTAGAATCTGTTAAAAGTGATTAATGATTGTAGACTTCGTCTAAAAAAGAAAGAGGGAATTAGGCTGTAAAAGTATTATATTATTAAGTTAAACTACCCAATTCACCCAATTCACATTCAAGCGGTGACTTTTGTTTTTGTTTTGACTACACGCCTGACCTTGTTGCTCCTGCTGATGCCACAGCAGAGGAGACTGGTCTAAAATGTGCTCCAATTCATACTGACTTCATTTGAAAAATGCTGCAATTATTTTAAATTAGTAGAATAGATGCTGAGATAAATAAGTGTAAAAGGGAAAGTCCATAAAGTGAAACCCAAGATGTTCAAGATTAAAAACATCACACAGTACAAAAGTACATAATACATATTTTAAAGTTTGAAGGTTTAAGAAATTTGAGTCTTGTTTTTTTATATTGAGAGTTTCTGGTTTTAAATGTCATCATTAGTAAGATAATAAGTAATCTTTTATTTACATAGCGCTTGGGAAAGCCAAGAGCGCTTCAAAATTGTTTAGACTTCAGAGAGAAAAACAATCTCATTCACAATCTCTGTTGTTTTTAATTTGACTATAAGGTTGTTTTCCAGAACCAAGAGCACACACTGTACAGGGTCACTGGACTGCTGGACACTGGACAGCAAAGCCCACCCAGCCACAGGTCACAGAGCTAAGAGCAAAGGGAAATGCCACCTCCTTGCCCCTCCCCACGCCACTGCAGAACTGAGTGGGTGTGAGTGAGACCGGGGCCATGAAAGAGAGGTTTCTGGAGACGTGATGGGTGGAGCGTCAGGGAGAGACCTAGAGGGAGTTGAAAGTGTGTCTACGTGGTTTGCATCACCACAGTGTGACCTTTGACACCTACAGGTGGTTCGAGGAGTCTTGAGACACAACCCCAAAATTCACATACACACACACACACACACACACATACATCTACACACACACATTCACATTTACATATAGAATTAGATAAATGCATCAACCATAGATTCTTTCAAAAATAGAGATTATTTGTAGCCAGTGCTAATATCAAATGGTAAAGGGACCATTTCACAAGCATTTACTTCAAAAGTAGATAAAGTTACTTACAGTTTTATTAGATACTTGCCAAATTCACTTGTGTTCAAACATGAGTGAATGTTGACTATGCAAAAAGTCCATATGAGTGTAGCCTAGATTAATGAGATAGATTAGAACCAAGAGAGATTCAAAAGCATTTAAAAGCATTTTGATGCATTTGTGTATAGCACAAAAACACAATAGTAGATATTTGGATATCTTTGAGAAGTTTCCAGCACAAACACCATTGTAGAATAACTGACCCCAACCCCAAACCTAATTAGCTACTATTAGGATAATACTAATTTGATTAATGATGTACATTCATCCCAAACTGCCTGACAATAATATCTTTAGATAATAAAAAGTAATAAATCACTGACCACTATAGAAGTGTAAATGTTGACCGTTTGCCTTACTGTGTTCACAGTTTTATTCCTGAGAATGAGAATAGACATAGAGCAAAATCCCACTGATAATATGCCACTGATAATGAGAGTATAAAACCACAGAGAGATTTGTTAGATTAAAATGTATGTTTAAGAATATGGCTCAATAGAAGCAAATATGCAAACATATTTGTGAATAGATTAGAATAGTTTTAAACTATAGTGAATAGTGAAAGTAAAGTACACAGTCTAAGATTAAAAAGTGAAAATAATACAGTGAAATAAGTGAAGTGTAAACAATTAGCATTAGAATAAAAGTATAGAGTAATAAAAGTGAAATTAGCTTCTAAATTGAGACTCAGCTCGTTTTTGTCTGTGTTTTGACTGAATCTGCTGAGTTCTTGTGTGTCCAATAGTTTTTGTTTGTTTTTATTTTTGTTTGTTTTTGTTTTGATTTGTTTTTTTGTTTTGTTTATTTATTCACTTTGTTTTTGTTTGTTTTGTTTTTTTTTTTCCAGGATAGAGGATAAAATCCACTGATATTGATTTGGATGATTATGAGTTTTAATAATTTTGTAAAGTTTTTTTTGGGAATTTTTTTTTTTTTCTTTTTCCACTTTATTGATTGATCAAATTGAGTGATCACATGTGATTATGTGATCAAAGGGGAGGGTGTTAGTATTAGATAGCAATATGGCCTACGTGCAGGACTCTACAAGGACTCTACAAGGACTCCATGTTATGACTATGATTTGACTGTCTCTTTGTGACACGTATGTCTTTCGATGTGTGACGTGACAATGACTATATAAACTGTGTACTGCCTTTATTCTGTCTGAGAGAAAGAAACAGAGTAAACCAGTGGAACTTGAGAGAAACTTAAATAAACTTCCAGAGTTTGGCACACCACGATCCGTCTCTGTCTGCTTGAATCCTAACACTACCTTTATACAGCACATTTAACTTAATGAATACAAACAGAACATTAAAGAAGGTTAAAACTACAGGATTAAAACAAACTACAAAGAAACTAAAAAGAGAAAAAGCATATCCAGATGTCCTGCCAGAGGGAAGAAGCTAGAACATGGCTTTTCCAGGGGCCAGAAGAGTCACTGATTATGAGTCTGGATTCTGGATTCATAAAGAACCTCCAGAAACAGTTAAAAAGACCGGTGGAAACTCTAGAGTAGAGCAGGGTGAGGTAGGGTAGAGTAGAGTAGAGTAGACTAGAGTAGAGTAGGGTAGAGTAGAGTAGAGTAGGGTAGTGTAGGGTAGGGTAGAGTAGGGTAGGGTAGAGTAGGGTAGGGTAGAGTA